CATCTCTTATCCATGCAAGTATCCCAAGGCAAATTACTTTCTATGGGTATTGCCTCATTTCCTTATTAATTAAATGCAGATAAAATTGCTGACTCTTTTCAGAGAAGGGCAAGAAATATGCTGACATATATTGGGGAAAAAACAGTTTAATTTGACAATTAAATGTAAGCTGAAGTTATGTTTATTTCCAAATTTCTAAAGAATAAAGTCACAATTTTATCATGTTGGAGCTCTAGCTGTGATTGGCTAAGCTGTAATTATGATCATGATGGACCAAGGTGAAGGGAGCCTTCCAATCACAGGGTACATCATAGGGCCTCAGGTGATCAATTCAAGCTGATTCTTTCAGGAGATGATTATATCTGAATAATTGTCCTGTAGGAGGAGCAAGAGGGACCAAGTCAGAGTATCTGACATGAGAACAAAGGAGCCTAGAGAATATAAGTGCTTGTATTCCTGGTATCACAGTAACTTACACTTGGTAGATAGCAACAAATATTTGTTGAATTGAGTTGAGAAATCCAGGCAGGAAAAATGTTGTCTCATTGGGAAGCAGTTATATAAATGTTCATTTGAATTACCAGTGTTTAGTGACCTGTGGACCACTCTTATATGCAAGCACCAAACTTGCCAGCCATGCATGGGGTCTGGATAGTGGTCATTATGAAGAATGGAAGTTCAATGATTTTTTCAGAAAAAGTATTAGCCTAGAATTTTCCTATTTCTGTTCATTTTCCCCACTCAAATGAACTCAAAACTTTGGCATTATTGCTAATTCTTTCCAGTTTCTTGTTCCTATATTTAATTAGTCTCTTAAACCTATTCTCTCTTTGTACTGTCTTTCACATATCTCCCTTCTTTTCCATCCTAGTAGTGGGCTCTCATCACTTCATATCTATTCTACTACAATTCTCTTCATACTATATTCCTACACATTTTCAGACTAATCTTCCTAAGATACTAAGATAAATATTACCTCTCCATGTCATTCTTCTATTCAAAAACCTTAAACAGTTCTGTGAATCCTGTAAGATGCTTAACTTGGCATTTCAGGCCCTTCACCAAGAGTCCCTAACATAGTTTTCCACTTTTCTCTCCTACTCTTCCCATTGAGAGCCCCTTAATGGTAGCCAAACTGGTCTGTCTACTATCTCCCAAAAACACTTTCCTCATTTCAATAATTTTACCTTTATCTTTAATTGTTGTCCTATATAAACCATATACTCCACTGAGATTGGTCTTTGTGTGCCCTAAAAAATGCTCTTTGCATTTTTGTCTCAGTTATTGCCTTTACTTATTTGGGTCCTTCCATTTAAAATACCCTCTCTCCTCCTATGTAATACCTAAATTCCACCCAATTCTTCAAGGCCCAGTTCAACTGACAGGTTCTAGGGTACAAAGGAATTCCCTCTTACAGCATCCCTAACAAGTGGTCACCCAGACAATACAGATCTCTAGAAATGTGAAACTTACTACCTCATTTTAGAAAGGAATCCATTTTAGAAAACTAAGGAATATTTTCCTTATATTTCAGTGTCACATCATGCCTCTTTATAGTTGTTGTTCCTGCTCTCTGTAGTCAAGCAGGGCAAACCTAACATCTTACACATGGCAATCCTTCATATATTTGGAGATAGTTGTGTCACCCTTAAATCTTCTCTTCTTGAAGCTCAGCATTCTCCATATCCTTTAACCAGTTATATGATTCATTTTTGAGTCCCCTAATCATCCTGGGCTTTTTTTAACCTTATTTCATGAACACTATCTTGCTAATGTCACACTAAAACTTGGCACTAAAAATAAAAAGATATTCTAGTCTGATCAGGGCAGAGATTGGTGTTACTGTAATCTCCCTTTTTTTTTTTCTGAATACAGTGCCTCTCTTACTGTCACCTAAGATAGCATTAACTATTGATGGCTGCCAAGTCATACTATTGATCTGTTTTGTGTTTGCATCCACCAAAAACCTCATGTCCTTTTCACATGAATCGTTGTTTAACCACATCTTCCCTATCTTGTATCTCTGTACTATTGATTTTTTCCCCCAATCCAAATGTAGACCTTTACATTTATCTTTATTCAATAGCATCTCTTAGATTTGGCCCATCATTCTAAGCTGTTGAAACCTTTTTGAGCCTTATTTCCTTCATCCAACATGTTAGCTGTCCTTCCTAGATTTTTGTTATCTAAAAATCTGACAAGTATGCCATCTCTTCCTTCATCCAAGTCATTGATAAAAAATGGTGAAGAGAATAATGCCAAAGACAGAGCCTTGGACTACTCCAATTCAATCAATCAATCAATCAACAAGATTTCATTAAGTGCTTAGTTTTTGCCAGGCACTGAGAATTCAGAAAAAATGAAGCAGTCCCTGCTCTCAAGGACCTTACATTTTATCAAGGAAAACCATATGTTCATAAATTGGTATATACAGAAGAAATATTAAATGAATACAAGATCGCTTAGGATAAAGGAGCACATTTGCTATTGGAAGGATCAAAAAAGGCTTCAGGTAGAAAATTATGTTTGAGCTGAGTGTTAAAAGAAATAAGAGATTCCATGTTCCTTAGGTGAAGAGGGAGAGAACATTACAGGCACCTCTTCTATGTGAAAGGTTCTTAACATTTTTTTGTGGGTGTGTCATGGACCCTTTGGCACTCTGGTGAAACCTATGGATCTCTTATCAGAATAATGTTTGTAAATGAGTAAAATATGTAATAAGATTACAAAAATAAATTAAGTATATTGAAATTTAATCATCAAAATATGAACTTCTGCCTAGGCTGACCCACTTCCTTTAATCACTGCTCTTTGGCTCCAGTCATTCAGTCATTTCTAAATCCACCAAACTGTCCACATTCCTTCTTGTCCCCAGTGGTCTTGCTGAGCTGAAGCTATGCTATATCTATGGCATCCCTATGGTCTGTGAGTCTTAGTTCCCTGTTCTTGATCAGTCCTTCCAACTCTGGTGATCACAAATGTCTGCACTAATTACTGCAGTCCACAGTGACCTCTTTAAGTATGTAGGACTTTTTGTTTGTACCACTCATCTGACTTTTAAAGTGTATCTTGTATTATTTGTGATCTTTTAATATGTCTAGATATTTTCTTTCTGTTTATATTGTAATCTCCTCTAGGATGAGGTACCATGTTCATTTGTGTTTTGTTTTGGAGGCAATTGGGTTTGATTGGTTTACCTAGGGTCACACAGCTAGTGTCTGAGGTTGGATTTGAACTAAGGTCCTCCTGACTCCAGGGATGGGACTGTATCTACTGCACCACCTAACTGCCGAATTTAAAAAAAAAATTCTCAAGCTTTTAGCACAATATCTTCATATATAGGCAATACTTAGTGTTTTTGAATGAATGACTATTTTATAAAGTTTTAAAGCCATAGCATGATTCAAATATAATACTTCTTTACTTTTCTTAATTTTACTTAGTTGAATCAATTAAAATTTAATATAAATAATTTCTTGGTTGATTTGTAATTACTATCCCAAATGAAGGACAAGAGGAAAATAGCTAATATGGAGGAGTAAGGTAAGGAGCAGGGTAAGCAGTTGCTCACATTTATATGGAACTTAACAATTTGCAAAACTCCTTGCTAATTCTGTGAATTACGTGTTGTATTATTGTTCCTATTTGCTGATAGGGAACCTGAGGCTGGGAGTTATTAAGCAGCTTTCTTACTGTGACATAGCTACTGAGCAGAAGAGTTGGGATGAGAACCCAGGTCTTCTGACTCTAAAGTCAGCTTTTTTCTGGTGTTCTGCACTGCTTCTGCTCTGAATGAAAAAGATATATGTGTGCTGTTCCTTTAAATATTCCAGTGTATGTGTGCAAAGTCTATTTCATACTCCTCTAAGTATTCTATGGTTTTGTTAAAGAGAAACCGAACCCTTATTATAAAAGGAAGAGCAAATAGTAAAAAGAAAAATACAAATAATTAATTAAATGTCATGCTTATCTCTGCATAATGGACTTAATATAATAGTTGGAAATTATTCAGAAATTTAAAATTTGGATAAAGGAATCAAGAGAGTTTGAAAATGCACGTAACAGCAGAACTCTGAGTTCTTGTACTTAATCTTGACTTTTTTCTCCAAATGGATCTTGTATTTCTGTGTTTAAATTACCCATTGCTCTTTGCCTGATTAGAAAACATAGCTTCTCTTTTTACATTTATATCTTGTGGTTTTATTTATTTGATAATTATATTAAAGATTTTATTTTTTAACTATACTTGTTAGGTTTTATGAAAAAATTTTAAATTAAACACTAAGATATATATGTTCAAATTTATTATTCTGAGTATTATTTGTTTGGGGACATTTAAATGACAGTTTGGTGTAACTTTCTGAAAATAAGGACTAGGATGTGCTGATTTTTCATATAGTGAAGAGGGTAACTTTTCTATCATAACAACTAAAATGCTCTTTTATTTTCTTTCAAGATTGTTAGTTCAATAATCTGCATCTGGTTGATATTTAAAAGAACTTGTGTCCGATGTTTTGTCCAAATTCTAGGTTGTGAAATACTTTGAATATTTAGTACCCTGAGTTCCATTTTAATACCCTATATTACTGTAGGAAACATCTTTAAATGTTTTACCTCTTTCATATGGCATTCAAAGTATCAATATTAAATAACAATTTTTTCATACATAAATCCATGTTTATGAAATAGCTAACTTCACTATACACAAATGTTAAATTTTAAAATGGTGGGATTTAGAGGGGGGAACATTATTAAAAGTAAAGGTCTAGGGATTGAACAGCAAATAGCTTCCTACTTAATTATTTCATTAAAAATATAAGTCTTTATTTTAGAATCTAAAAAATATCTCACTAATCTGCATTTTGGACAAGTCATTTCCTTTTGCCATAAAAAAGGAAGGGTGCCTAAATTTTCTGATCATCATTTATTATATTTATGTTGAAAATAAAAGTAATTTAAAATGTGACTGTATTGATTTTATACGGATTTTTTTTCCCAAGGAAATAGAGAAACTGAAATTAGAACTGAATGAAAGCAAGCAGCGTATTGAACAAGCACAGCAGGACGGAGCAAGAGCCAGAGATGAGTGCATAAAACTGACAGAACTGCTGGGCAAAACTGAGCACCAACTGCACCTCACCAGGTACCCCCTAATCCTATTAAATGCCATAGCACAAATTTCGTTCTACTCTTTTTTTTTCCACAGGCATCCAGGCAGTTGTTACAGACAGTCTTAGTCATTCGCTTCATGCACAGCTTTCAGGCATATTAGGAAACGTGCAGACGTAGAAGCAAAACACCCAGACATGTGAATGATAAGTGTGGCTTATATAAAACACAACCTTTCATCTCTAGGACTCACATGTCTCAGTGATTCACTTTCAAAACAGCCAAAAGGACACACTTTGTGCCCCAGTTCTAAAAGACCTGGGCTTGAACCAGAGTTTAACATTTTGGGGAGAATGCTGGAAGCTTCTGATGTGGAAATAGCTGTATCACAATGCAATGTACTAGGAAAATTGAGAAGAAAGAGGTATAAGATGCAAAATTTGAGTGGTAAATGGCATAAAATTTAGAGATGACGCTTACTGCTATTGACCCATTGAAAAATGTGTTTGCTAAGGATGTATTGCAAATTATATTGTTACTTGTAGTGTGATATGTGAAGGTCTTTATTATAAAACTCCAGTACCATATGCATGGGTCCCCAGAAAGGATCAGAACATTCCAAGAAACAAATATTCTGAATGTATTTTTAAAACAAGAAAAGAAAACAATCAAATAAATGTATTGAATTCTTCAAACCCCCATTTTAGTGGCTTCTGCATATTTTGAGTTTTAATAAGAATTTTTTTTCATTTGTATATCAAATAACTACATTCTTCATATATCTTGGGGTCCAGTTGGTCTTATAGAGAATCTTGCTATCTAAACACATAACAAATCTTCATGATATTAGATTCTAAAATCAGTTAGACAACAGCCATCCATTAACACTAGCATGTTGAATTTGAACTATGAAATGGGGACTGATCCCTTTTACATTAAATATGACAATATAATTCAGAACACGGTACAGTAACAGATGGAGGAAAGCACCACTTGAACAGCCTGCATTTGGAGAGAAAAAATATTCTAGAGGTTGATGAACCTCCCAAAGTTTTGGGGTAATGTTAAGATGCCTTTACTTCTGCTAAAATAAAACTTTCTTCAAAACATTTTGTTATGATAATAATCCAAATAGTATGCCAAGCTCCTCTTTACAAAAAAAAAATCCAATATAATGTCATCTAGGTATGTGTGATATCTTGAAAAAATCCTGATAGCTGAAACAATTTATCAGGAAAAAAAAATTGCTTAATAATGCAGAATAATAACTGTTCTTTTAATGCAAATTGAAAGTAGTTGTAGAATCAAGAACATGTCAGTGTAGTTTATATAGTCATTTAATCATGGAAGTTTTAGAATTTAGCTTTATCATGAGAATGTTAATATTGTTTCTCCCCTGTCAGACTGCTATTGAGAACCAGCCATTAGTGTGTTAAGTACTGGTAAGTTACAGAAATGGATAGCTTTTAATGTCTCAGTGCATCTGAGGATCAGTAAATAAATATTAATGCTGGATTTGCCCTTATACTATTCTGTCTTATTCATGGAGTCAATTTCAGAAGTCAAAGTCCATGGAGAGTTTCTTTATGCAGTTTTTCCTTTGCTTGTAACAAGACCATTTTTTCCCAAGGACAGCACATTAAGATTCAGCACCTGCTAAAAATGGATGATTGGCAACTAGTTTCTTTGTTCTTCCTTAAAGAATATTTATATCACCTTAGTACTTCATAAAATTGTTTTCTGTTGATCTTTATTTCAGCTGGTTTTAGAAAACAACATACTAGCTTCACAAAAAATAGAACTTCCAACAAGTTCTCAGTGTTATTATTCTTTTCTTAATTACAGCTTCCTTCTGAGTCTTCTCTACATAGTTGGCAAAATGAATGCTTATAAAATTGTAGGTGAATTAAAAATTCAGAGTACAGACAAGATATACCCTTTTCATGCAAAACACAAGATTGTTGATAAAGTTTTCTACTCTTATACCACTTTATTCTGATTTCTAAGCTTTTTTTCCCCCACTGCCTTTCTTTATTCATCCAGTATATCCACTTCAGTGCCTTTCACAGAGCCTTTCACACAGTAGGTGCTCAATAAATGTTCACTGAATAAATTAAATACATTCAGTTTGATGCTTGTGAACCTTTTTTCTATTTCAGTTTAGACCAGCTGCTAAAATAACAAACTGCAAGGCAGGTGGCTAATCACCATATAGCTTCAACTTAAACATTTAAAACTTCATGTTCTAAACAGAAGTTCAAAAATGTAATTTTAAAAATACATGATAAATAGTTTAACTATGAAAATGAATCCAGTTCTTCAGGGGAGAGGAGAAGGAGATGGAGTGGAAATATGTGGATGATCTGAGGAAAAAAATCCTCACTTCTCAAATCTTATTTATACTTTCTTGCCAATGGTAAGGAATTTTCCCTGAAAGTTTATAAAAAGCAAAAGACAGAACCTAAGAATTCAGCATTTATTGAATACAGTCCCTCTGATATGCTATATTTGGGTAATCAGGCTTTATATTAGCTGTTCCATGTAGTCATTTAGCAACAATCCCCATGTAGATAAAGAGCTTTCCAGAAAGGCAAAATCATGACCTTCCCTAAACTTCTAAGTTTCCAGGTTGGGAGGGGGCACTGCAAACTGTAAAAAAGCTGGGTCTTGGCTTTACTGACTAGTGAAGGGTTGAGAAAGAGAGAATGAAAAAGTAGAAGAAAGGACGAAGATTTGGGCACTTGGTATATGAAATATATATATATTTTTTTACTCTGATAATGATCTGAGTTCTGGTTACTCTCTGTAGCCAAAGGTTTTCCAAGAACCTATGCATAACATATCTCTCTGTTTGCCTGTGTAGAAAATGGAATTTCCCCCCCCCCCCCAGATACTACACAGGAATGCTGCATCTGTGTGTGGCTCTAGTTGAAGCATCATAGATTTGGATCTGGAAGGGGCCTTAGACGCCATCTAGTCCAACCTTTTGTTATTTTACAGGTGAAAAAAAAATCCGAGACCTTGAGAAGTTAGGGGACTCACCCAGAGTTATAATGGTAGAAAGTGGTAGAAGTCAAATCCTGTGATTTCAAAATCTATGGCTCCTTCCACTTTTCAAATGAAACATCAACAAATGTTAGCCATTTATTTAAAAAAAAAAAAAAGGAAAAGAAAAGAAAAAAAACAGAAACAAAAACAAAACCCCTGATATGTGTTAAGGATTTCATCCAATTCAGGATTCTTGGAGTAGGTTTCAGCTGACATTGATGTAGCACCTTAAAGTTTTCACAATCCTTTGCCTACTTAAGGTGAATATTTAGATGTCACTACCCTCACTTTACTGATGAGGAAAGACTGGGAAGTAAAGCAAATGCCCTAAGTCACACAACTAGTAAGTGTCAGAGGCAGGATTCAAACTCAGGTCTCTCCTGACTCAAAGTTCTGTATTCTTTCTACTGTGTCCAGCTTATCTGAAGTTCAGACCTTAGTCCTCCTGAACACAGATGTGCACTTAGAAATAAGGGAAAAAGGCTTGGGAGATTGAAGTGATTGGCACAAAGATTCTACAAAAGAGTCATGCATTTTAGTCTGAAGGATAGGCTTTTACCTGAAGCCCACTCACTCTAATTTTATAAGCAATTGTTACAAGCTTGGTTATCTAGTTTATCAGCCAAGTGTGTCTTCTGTAACAAATCACAGAAAGAGGGCCTGGGCTGCTGGAATCTTAGAAAGAGCACCATACTGGCTATGAGGAAAGCTACATCACAATCCTGGTTTTGCCATTAATTAGCTATGTGTCTTTCCACTGCTCAAAAAGTCTTGGTTGTTTCCCATTGTCTACTGAAGTCTAAGCTTGCTCTTCTGACATTTAAAAACCCTCCATCATCTGGCCTCATACCACCATTCCAGCCTTACCTCATACTAATCCTTTACATTAAAGGTTCTTTACCTTTTCTTATGTCATCCACCTCTCATGTATGATGAAATTTATGATACCTTTTTCAGAATAATAGTTGTTGCGTCCATTCATATTTGAAAAAAAGTGCTAATTTTCGATTAGAGGTTAATGAAAATAAAGATGTAATTTTGTTTTCCTTCCAAGTTCAGGGATCCCCTGAAATCTACCTATAGATCCCGTAAGAGTCTTTGGACCCCAGGTTAACCTGATATGTTAACTCTGCTCTAGTCAAGCTAAACTACTTGAAGTTTTCTTAACATGCCTGGCACATTCCTGTTACTCTTCTCCTTTCGTATTCCCTGTATTTGGAAGTCCTTTTCTTCCTTGTGCACCTATCGGAATCCTTCAAGGCTACTCTTAAATTAAGGCTACCTTTCTTCATAGAACTTTTTCTGATTGCCCTAGTTGGAAATGAGTGCTTTTTTTCCCCTTTGAATTTCTGTAATACTTTTTTTCCTTTTGGCACTTCTAAAATGCTGAATGAGTTGCATCAGTGAAAGGATGGATGTCCTGTATTATAGCTATTTGTAGGCATTTTTTGTCATCTCTATTCAATTGTAAGCTTCTGAAAGGCAAGGGTTTTGTCTTAGACATCCTTAATTTCTCCACAGCATCAGCATTATGCTTGGAAATAATAAACATATACTGAATTGTATGATAATGTATATTTCAATACATATTGAATGTATTTTAAGGCTTTGACTCTCTGTTCCCATAATTCCTGGTCTTTATGTATTATTGAAGATGTCTCCCTTCTTAGAAATTTTTACTTAATAAGTATGAAAAAGTTCTGTGTCGTTTAAAATTTAACTTTCCTTGAATTCTATTTTTATTTGATTGGAGCAGTGCTCTACTATTTTGTTTTCAATTATCTCAAGAAGCAAAGTTGTTTTATTTTTAAATATGCATCCAGTTGTAGTTTGGAGAAATTATCAATAAATTATCAATAAAATAAGTTATGTTTTGTACCACTTTCTTTTGTAATTAGATGATGAAACCATTGATGATGTTCACATACTTGAAAACGTGAGGAAAGATGTCTTTTCTTAAGTTATTTACTTACAATGAGGATTATC